GTTGGTCTGCTTCCTAGTTAGGGGAACTCGTGCCGACCAGGTCATGCGGTGAAGGTGAATGTCTTCAACACCATCAACAACCTAATCAAGGGAAGCACCGACATCCGCGACAAGGTGAAGTCCGGCCAAGTGGAGATCCAGGGAGGCATCTACGACCTCGACTCCGGTCGCGTCCAGTGGCTCGGACGCAGCCCCGAGCAGGGCAAGCTCCTCTCCAGCTGAGGCGGTACAAAAAAAGCAGCCCTGTGCCTACCTATAGGGCCTATACTTCTTGTAAGTCTATAACGAAAGAGTGCGCGGCAGCCAAGACCCGAACACCGTATTGAAGCCTACCGGACCTATTCCGTACGGAATGACCTTGGCTTGGCCAGGTTCGAGAGGCAGATAAGTCCGTTTGTATGTTGCCCGCCGCAGCCACACTAAGCCCTCATCATGAGGCACCATTCCGCGCTCGAACGCTTGGCAGAACCGGGGTTTGTGGAAAAGAGCTGGGCCCACGCCTTGCGCCGTCGATGGCGTTCAGTCTTGCAGATAAAAGTTAAAGTGCAGAGGTTGTGCTTTTGTTTTGTGCTGCACATGGCGTGGGTTTCAGAGTGTCTTGCACAGCCCTCTCGCACACAGGAAGAGCTGATCCGGTAAACATCAAAAATGTGGTTAGTTACAGAAGAGTAGGTGTCCTCTCGGTTCTTTCTGGTCTGGCTACGGAGCCATTTCTCCCAAGTTTTTGACCCATGAGAGCCACGCAGAACCCGGGGAAGCCTGCCCAAATTGTGTCGTGATGTTAGTTGCTAATCACATTCCTTTCCTATTTCGAGGGGCAGGCCCCGTGATCAGGGGGACAAGATTTTAAAGCTCCCGGCAACCCCTCCACCCCCTTCTTTCAGCAATCAGAAGGGGTGGCTGTGCCTAAGGCACAGGGGTCCGCATGCACGGACCCTAAGACCTTAAGACCTGCAGCAAGAATGAAAGAACGTCGGTGGCGAACCTGCTTCCGAGTCCCAACCCCGCCGAGATAGATAGATACATAGCGAGGTGGGTTCTTAGATAGATACATACATACACACACACACACACATAGACATTTTTTGCTTCGAGTGAGATAGCACACACATCATAAATAAATAAGCAAATGCATAGATAGATAAACGAATACATGAATATAATAAATATGTAATTGCATACATACATAATTACATACATACATACATACATACATACATACATACATACATAGATACATACATACATACGTACATACATACATACATACATACATACATACATACATACATATCCAAGCAAAAATCAGTACACACACATATATATATATGTATATATATATATATATATATATGGATACAAAATCTCTTTCTCTCTTTCTCTCTAAACGTTCCCAAGGCAGCGAGTCGGCCTACCTCGAGAGCTACACGGCATCGCTACCGGACCGGGTCTCCGGGCTGAACGCACGGGCCCCGATCCCGATGCGGGTTTTTGTTGGTTTTATAGGGTTTATAGGTTTGGGGTTTTAGGGATCCGAGATGTGGTGTTCTGGTCTAGCGACTCGATGATGGAGAGTGTGGGAGGCAACGCACGTGTCCCCCACGGAGCTGCTCTACAACTGGATCCCTCTCCTGGGCGCCACGGAGCCTGATGCCCAGATCTTCTCAAAGTCGTTTCCGTCGAGAGAGTCCTGGCGTTCAGGATCGGCTCCACAGACTTCTCCATCCTCAAGGGCTACGAGCTCTGGATGGACGACGGCTTGGGAGGCGCGCAGAGGAGGCTTCCGTCCTGACTTCCGATATTTTTCGGACCTTGCGACAGGCAAGTTCTCCCGCACCTACGATGGCTACAACAAGCCCTTCGAGACCTACTTCGTGGCCACGGGGTTGGTGCCGCGGCCCTCGGTTGCCGAACTGCTTGTTGTTTGCTGCAGGGCTGTATCGCCCGTGGAGATCGTTGCAATATTGGCTTCGGAAATCCCATGCGGGACAGATGGAGCAGGGATAGGAGTTACACGGCATAGCAGACCTAGACAGTTCAACTCGCAATACTGACATTTGTCGTGCTTCAGCTTACAAGTGTCATGAAATGTGCCCACAGGCACGGTAGGGATTCCGGCACCTGGCTTTGCCACTGCCCTTTGTGCAGCTTTTGGCTTTTGCCGTGTGTTCAACAGTGTTGCAGCGATGAGCAACATCCAACGAGCCGCAAGCGTTTCTGTAGCCAGCGACGTCCCACTGACGGAGGAGTGGTTCGAGCTTTTCATCCGTTGACACCGGCCGAAAAGAAGAGGGCCTTAAGATTTGCGGAAATTGAGAAGACGTCGGTCCGGGTGCCGCGTTGGGAGCCAACCATGGAACACGGAGATGCACATCAATGAGCAATTTACTCATGGGATCAATATAAATCTTGTGGTTTCCTTTGTAAAGAAGCAAGAAGCTAGATAGCAGCTAAATGGCACCAGACAAGAGGAACGTGTCACCCCGGAGTCAGTTGAGGAGCGTGAAAGCAGAGGGTCAACGCCTCTCCATACCCAAGGACACTTTGCAGAGACCGGGTGAAGACGGCCAAACCCCTGCTGGAGAGCATGCATCCGCAAGCTTAAAGGTGTGGTGTAGTTGCTAACCAGCGGCTTTTGGCGTTGGCTTCTGTTGAGATCAGAGTGCCAAACGTGTTTTCACGTTTGGATAAGGGGGAAACCGTTAACATATCATGTATGTTGGGGGTGAGAAGCCCTGCAGAGCGGATGCGTTTCTGCACCAATGCGTGATGCTGGTTAGGCTTGAACTTGATTTGACCAACACCGTCGATGTTCCGTTTTGCACATGCCACTGACATTTCGGCACTTGCCAAATTCGCTTTTGCGTCGTTCACTTGACGACATTGAGCATTTTGGGCCAGTGCGAAGAACTTTAACTTTAGGTAAATGTCCAACACAGCAGCAGTTCTAAATTGGCACGGAAACCTCGCTTGCCGATTAAGAGCCATAATGGAGATACAGAGGAAAGTACCGCAGGCTTCATTGGAAACACTTCGCGCCTTGGCGGCCCTGCCGGCTTTACTGTTCTTGCTCGCTGAACGCCGAGGCCGGGACGCACCTATCGGGCCTACGTCCGTGCAGTCAACGTCGTGGGCACCTGAGCTCAGACCCACCTGCGCTTTGGTAGAACGGAACGGGCACAGGTTGGCTCTGGCCCAGATTCCGATGCGCGCCCTTCAGTCTTTCGCTTGTGTCGCTCCATCCGCAAATCTCCGCTGACCGGGTTTTATTGGCAGGTGTTGTACCGGGCCATGGCCGTGGAACCCTCGGCGCCCAGCGACCTGCAGGCCACACTGTAGCAGCGTGTGAGCCCTCGCATTCGATGATCACATATAATTCTGTTCGTCGGCATCAGGTGGCCTCGGCTGGTGCCGAGGAGGTCCTATGCAGTTGGAAGCCACCGCAGGCCCCCTGCTGGAATGAGCTCGTATGGATGGTTTCGGGGTAGCGTTCAAGCATTGCAGCCGGCCAGGACAACGGCGGGGAGCCCGTGCTGCACTACGTCTTGGAGTACGCGCCGGACGGTTTTGGCACAAGCCTGCACGTTTTGTCATCAAAAGCCTGTGCTCTGCTGTTTTCCAGGAGCCACTCTTCAACACCTGGCAGGAGCTCAAGGAGCAGAGAGAGAGTGCTGGGGGCTCTTTCCTCCCCTGCAGGAAGATGGGCCCTACCCGGACAACACCCAGTGGGCAGCTCGAAGAGCTCGGCTAGCCAAGTTTGGGGAGACTTGACTCCCACTTTGAGGTTCACAAAGACGATCTTCAACCTGGGGCAGGGGCTGGTGTCCGGGGGCTCGGTGCGGCTCAGCCCTCAGCCGGAAAGAACGCTGCAGCCCAGGTATCAGTTCCGGATCCGTGCCGTGACCAATGCCGGAGGCAAGAGTCGTTTCTAGCATTGCAAGGGTTTGGAAAGTCGAGGCGGAAGAATGCCACAGTGAATAAACTCCCACAGTCTTAGACACAACAGAGGCCGCGTCCTCACTTCCAGGTGGCTCCTACTCCAACGTGGTGTCGCAGGTCGTCGGCACCGCTTCGGACCCAGAGCCGCAGCAAGCAGGGCCTTTCCCTCCGCGGAGCTTCCTCTCTTTGCCAGGCTCCGACGGCTGCACCAAGTGGCCTCACGAGGGCCTCCACCACCTCGGCGGGACGCTCAGCGCGGGTGAGCTGAGTGCTTCAACTCCGCTGGCTTTCCGAGGTGTCCTTGACCTGGGCCTGGTCGCCACTGCCCGTGGCGCAGGCGCTCGGGAAGCTCACCGCGAAAACTTTTGGGCCGGAGCGGAACAGCGGAACTTCGCAGACCGGTGGGGCACCCCTGGGCGGCTACCGCCTCTACATGAACACTGGCCGGGACGTTTGAGGCTCAGACGCTTCCCAGGATGACAGGAAGCTGCGACGTCTCATGGCAGTGACGCTGAGGATGTGACCTCCTTGGTCTACGACGGCAGCGACAAGCCTTCGGCCCGAGCCCCAAGAAAAAGCAGGACAGGGCCAGAGACCCTAAACCCTAAAGGCCCTATCAACCCTAAACCCTCGGGTCTTTTTTCGTCTCCTCCAGGCCACGGAGTTCACGGCCACCTCCCTGGTCTGCGGCAGAGTCTACAAGGCAGGGCCGCCCGCCACCTTGAAGTCGCAAGGGAGGAGGAAGGAAGGAACTGTCCCGTGTACCTTATGGAGACTCTAGACGCTAGATAGTATCTACTATCTTGCGAAAAACAAAACAATACCTACTCCATCTCTTTTGCTTCGCAACAGAGCGCTCTTATCTTTCGCGCCGTCTCTTCGCAGCTCCGAGGCCGAGGTGTCCGCCGTGACCAGCATCGGGGAAGGCGCGAGCGGCGCGGAGATCCTCCAAAATGCAAAAAAACTCCCCCTTCCTCCTCTTCCTCCTCCTCCTGCTTGAGCCGATCTCTGCCTTTTCCTTCTCTCTCTCTCTCTCTCTCTCTAGCTTCTCTCGAGTTGAGGCCCCCGCAGCTCCATGGCAGCTTTCAAGCTGGCGCACACGCCATCGCAGCGCGGGCCCCCGATTTCAAGCCCAGAAGCTGCTCAGAGAGGGTCCTCGAGGCCAAAGCAAATGCTCTGAGCTGAGGCCCCGGTCGGCGCGAGTGTTGGCCAGCAGCACGGGCTCCATCACGCTGGCCGGGGGAGGGCGAGGGGAGGAATGCAGGGACTTCGGGGTTTCAGCAACGAGACGAGGAGAGCAGTGAACTCTATACAGTGCCCGGCTCTCTGACAAGCTCTCGCGGCAGGCCTGGGACATCCCCGAGAGCACGGGCTGCACAGAGCTTGAGCCATTCCCCCAAAGCTCCGCGAGTCGGTGAACACGCGCACGCACATACACACGCACACATTGATAAAAAATATGCTCAAGGACAAGTACGCAAGTAAGCAAGCAGGTAAGTAAGTAATAGTAAGTATTTAAGTAAGCAAGCAAGTAAGTACAGAAGGCAAGAACGAAATGGATAACTAAATAAATGAAGAGCGAACGGATTAACTAAATTAATAAATGAAGAACTAACGCAAGTAAGTACGTAAGCAACTACACACGCAAATAAATGGATAGGTCGCGAAGTTGAGGTATACGAGAAAGACGAAAAAGACATGAATCAACCAACAAACACATAAACAGTTAGTTCAACAAGAGAGGACTCGACTAGAGAAATAGGTTCCTACATGCACAGATACATGTACTCATGCAGGCATGCATACCGGAGCGTCGAGCTATCAACTTCCGCTGGGGTGCAGTGAAAGCACATCGAATCCAACATGCGGCTGCGGCGAGAAGAACAGGAGTCCGGCCCGCTTTTTATCGCCCAAAACGGCCGCTGAGGTACTACCGCATCGAGCGCGACATGGGTCAAGGCTTTGAGCCTGTCGCAAATGTGTCGGTGACCTGGAGCCGACGCTGGGAAGCTCGAGCCGTGAGCACCCCCATGTTACCGAGGTCGACGCCGATTCAAACCTACACCGACACTGGAGATTTGAGGCGAGCCTCTGTGGATCCTTAGCCCTGGAGCCTGCTTTCTACACACTTGCTCTTGCAACCCAGTCCTGGCCAAATGTACATCTACCGCATCGCGGCCCGCAACGATGCGCTGGATTACTTCGGACCACACAGCTCGCATGCCGGCACCTCAGGGCGCCTGACGTTGGGAGGATTGATGTCATGCTTCCTTTCTTGCTTGGTGCCATCAGCCTGCTCATGTTCTGTACATACGTAATGCAGTATGCACGTACTTCCATAGCGTATGTATAGATAGACATCGACATGTACATGTGCATATACACGTATGTACGTAACGTATGTAACGTACGTACGTACGTATAGGTAGGTAGGTAGGTAGGTAGGTAGGCAGGCAGGCAGGCAGGCAGGTAGGTAGGTAGGTAGGTAGGTAGGTAGGTGTGTATGTGTGTATGTGTGTATGTATGTATGTATGTATGTATGTATGTATGTATGTATGTATGTATGTATGTATGTATGTATAAGCGTCTCGGCTCCATGCTGTAGAGCGAGCGGGGTTTGTTTGCCGGGCGGCTCTTTGGGGTTGCCGGGGCTTCTGAGAAGTGGTCTTGGAGGAGTTGTCGTTCTGAGGGGTGGCTGGCTTGGCTCTCTTTTGGTCTATTCCTCATGTGCATGCCATGGACATGGTTGTGGAAGCTGCGCATGGAAGCAACAAGGCTCCCAAGTACAGGTCCCTGGTATATCTTGCTGACAGCTTGCATACTGCAGTGGAAAACCACACCATCGGCTGCCTTACCAAACAGTGGTGGCCCCTCGGAGTCAGGGAGATTCGGAGACGACAGCGGGGCCTGGCCGACAGATGGAGGACCTCGGGAGCCTTTGGGATCTGGTGGGATGGGTGGTTTTTGCTGTCGGACTTTTGGAGGTTGGTACTGCTGGAGCGAGTTATGGCGGTCGATGTGGAGTTTGGGCTTTCTGCTCTTCGGGCTGTTTGCTTGCGGATGTGTCCGGCCTTGGATGCTATGGACTAAGGGAGCAGGCATACAACGAGCTCTGCAAGGTGCCTGGAAGATGCATCGGCATCAACGAGGTCTAAGCCCGTCGGAGGCGCACACCCTTGGCCTCCCGCTTGCCTTTATGTTTGCTCTTCTGATTGCCAGTGCAGCTGTTTGTGGCAGTGGTGTGTACTGGGCATGGCTGCTACCTCTCCGGCTCGCACCATC